GGCCTGCACGTTGTCCCTGCACCGAGCGGGCTCTGACAGGGAACGCCCCGCGCGGCCCGCGAAGGCCCTGGACGGAACGCCCTGGACGGAACGCCCTGGACGGAACGCCCTGGGAACGCCCTCACTGCTTTGCATACGAACACCCCGGCCCCCGGCCCCAGGCCCTCATGTAGGTGCGATTTTGAGCCGAGGTGTCGGCCAGATCGCCGCCAACAACACCCTGCCGAGGAGAGACCGTCATCGCCGACGCGGCACGCCGAGGCACGCGGCCAACGAGCGCCTAGCGCCTGCGAAGTGCCGGGTAGGCCACCACGCGGCAGCACGCCGCGCTCCACGGCGGCCTGCCTACGCCCCAGGCGCTCTGCGGCTTGAGGTGCCCCGCGGCCACAGCCTCGTTCTCGCCGCGATTGGCGGCCTGATGAGACGCCGTCTTGGACGCCGTGGCGTTCGGGCTGGCCGCGAGGCTGGCCGCTCGAAAATCGTGGCGAAAATGAAAGGTGGCGAACGGCTGAGCAGGGAGCAGACTCGGGTTCGATCCTCGCCCGCGGCGCCGGCTGCTTCATAAAGTGAGATATGTCTTCCTGTTATCTAGTTTGGGCCGCCCCCCCTCCCCTCTTTTTCCCCGGTGCTCATTAGCAGCGATGAAGGCCAATAAAACATCTTGATCATCAAGCCACATTAGTAAGTTTGAGTCTTTGCACGCAGTTCAAATAATCAAAATAACTTTTTGTTTTGGATTTTCAATTTTGTTTTCAATTTTATTTTTCTTGCCTTTTTTTCCGGTTTAGCGTTAGGGACCCACCCACATTTCCCACTTTAATTGCCCGGCAGTTAATTAAGGCGTAATCAGGTAACAACCCTCACACATCCCCGCGAAGGGGAGCGGGCCGAACGGGCCGAGCGGGCCGCGCGGCGATTCAAATAATTGCATTTTGCCGCCGCCAACAAACGACAATCGAATATTCAGGGCGCTGCACTAGCTGCGCCGCTGCACTGTGTTCGCAGAACGGGCGGCGCTGTTCGATATTTACAGTGAGGCTGGCGGCCGTTAGAGACAACAACAGGTAGGTCCCATTACGGCCAAGTCTCTCTCCCTCTCTCTCCCTCTCACGTGCGGAATAAAAGCCTAAAAAGCAGAGCGGTGGACTATTAAGGCGTTAAGTGCGTTTGCCGCCATTTTATGAAATGGATTTGCATAAACGTGAGTCGCATACGGTCGGCCATTCCGCCAGGGCTGCGCTGGTGCTGCTGGCACGGGGGCCGACGGGGGCGGAGAGGTAGAGTGAGATAGACATCTGCGATTGTAATTGGCGCGCCACGCAGTTTGTAGATCGCCGCGATAAGGCGCCAAACGCAGAAAACGGTGAAAAGGCCGGCCGGGCGGAGGGCAGCAGCTCCGATTTTCAATTTTCAATTGCCTATGGAGTTTTGGAACAGTCAGAACAGCATTTTGTCTCCCAAACGGAATGCATTTACACAAAAACCAGCCCTACAAAGTAACGACTTATTTTTCACGTTCGGAAACTTTGGTCCTCGGCGAGAGTGGCTGCACGTTGACCGGGAAGTGGGCGATCCGTGTCGGAGGGCTGTCCGAAGCCGAAGCGGGGCTAGGGCCCGTACCGGTCATGCCGCCCAGGCTCGCGCCCAGGCCCAGGAAGGGCCCAAAGTAGGCGCACTCGTGGCCCCCGCGGGCGGCACGCGCGGCAACACTCCTCCGGGACACGCGCGCAGTGCAGCGCCGCAGCGCCGGGTCGGCCGGGTCGGTCCAGGGTGCTGCGGTGCCGCCTTGGGGCAGCCAGGGCGCGGCCCGAGTCTGCCCAGGCGGAGTAGCGATCCGAGAGGAAGACCGACACCGGCCACAACAACGGCAGGCGCATTCTTTCGACTTTCGCCGCGGAAAGTCTCCTTGATGCCGTTTCGGCACGAGTCTGGCCGGCGATTGAGCTGCATAATCGGACAGCCCGATCCCCTTCGGAGCCTGTCGACGACCTCGTCGACGACGCGTCGCGCCGAATGAAAGTCACTGTTAAAAAAATTCTGAAATTCAGCCCAAATTTTTGTCAGACTTAGCGGTCTGAATCTGAAATCAGACTTAATTCTAAAAAAATCAGAGTTTTTGTCTTATTTCTTAAAGGGTTTGTCTAAAAGTTTGGTTCAGACTCAAAGGGTGTCTTTTTGTACTCATTCTCAAAATTCTATGAACTTGCGTCAGATTTCCCAGACCTCAAGAGTCTGAATTTCGGATTCAGACTACTTTCTGAAATATGTTCAAACATAAGAGAAAATTGGACAACTTTCTTCCAACCTAACTTGGTTAACTCACAATCAGTTTACATTAAATTTTAATCCGACTCCTTTTCGGGGACTTCAGAAAAAACGAAAGCTTTTTTCTCTCCGCTAGGTGGCGCCAGTGTGGGAAAAGAGCCTGTTTTGTTAAAAATTTTTATTCTTTTAAAATTTTTAATTTTTTTAACCCGAAATGGCCATCACTCTTTTGGCTATGACGAAACACCACGCCCCCATCCCAAAATTTATATCTGTAGCAAGCGCGCGAGTTTAACAATGACATTTGAAGTTACCTCTCGGGGTTTGGCTCCGTGCCGCTTTCCCTAGGGTGCGTCATGCCAGCTCCAGATGAGTGCGGGGAAAGAGTCCCACATCGGGGACATTGCCCTACACTCAATTTTTTACCTAGACGGTTCCTTGGGACGTCTCTCCTTTGAGGTTCGGAGCGAACATTATCATTTCACCGATTGGGGAAAAAATTTCCCTGCTGCCACTTTCGACAAAACAATCTAGTAATTGAGACAATTTTGTCTTTTTTTTCAGACTACGACCTGTCTGAAAGGTTAAGATTTGTGTAAGTTAAAAATTTCAGACCAGGTTTTAGTCTAAATTTTTCAGTAGGAGTTCTGCATATTTACTTCAGTCAAAAAAGTCTAAATTTTTCAGAAAAATTTTTTTAACAGTTTTGCTGGCTAAGTAAGACGTCCACAAAGTGCACAGGTTGTGCCGGGGGTTGCGCCGGCCGGGCCGGGCCGCCACGCCGTGTTTCCCGGTAGGGCCGGCCGATGTCGCTCGGGTCCAAGACAGCGCGACGCAGCGCGACCATCGTTAACATCGTCGTTGACGTCCATTGCTTTCCCCCGGTGGTCAAGCACGCGTTGGACGTGGCCAGCCCGTCCTGGGCTCCTCGCTTCGAGCCACGCCGGCTGCGACGTGCCCAGGTAGTACTTGCGCAGCTCCTTCCACCGACGCCGCTCTTTCGGAACCCTAAAAGCAGAGCCCGCGAGCAACTTTTGTTGTGATCTGCGTCTTGTCCTTATTTCTCCAGTACTTATCAAAGTGTGCGGTATCAATCAGCTTCCGTGACTCCTCCCCGCTGCCGCCTGCCCGGCCGCCGCGAAAGAAGATGGCAGATGACATGTGCAGGACTAGCGGGCAGGCAGGACGCGGGCAGGACGCGGACAGGACGCCGGACCGGACCAGCCCAGGCCTGCCCCCAGGTCGCTATCGGGGACATCAGCTGGTCAGCCCGCGCTTCCTGGAAGCTAGTGATAGCGTATTACTTGGCCTGCCTGGTTAACACTGGCTCGCCCGCTGTGTGCGACCGCCCCCCCCCGCCCCGCCCCGCCCCGCCCCGTCCCGCCCCCCCCCGCCCCGCCCCGCCCCGCCACGCCACGTCCCGGCACGCCACGCCCCCGCCGTGCTAGTTAGTTGTTACAGCGGCAGATACGTGTGACGGGAGGTTCGTTGCTCGGGATTAATTGGCAATCACTTTGACGCGAAAGCAACGCGCATTACGGTTTTGGCACCGAGACAAAACAGGTGTCAGCCCGGCCGCGGTCGAGTAACCTTTTGCTAACGATGCCATCAGCGACTGGCCAAGTAGTACCTAGTTTGTCCGCAAGAGGGCGGCGGGGAAAACACCAGCGTCACAAGCCGAACGTCAAGAGATATGTTCGGTTGCCATGAGGCGATCACAAACTGGGTTGGCAAATCTCTTCGACAATATTTGGGCCGAGTTTGACGGATAGACTTTTTCAACGTATTTAGAGTATTTCACGCGAATACCCTCTCGGCTTTGAACCTCGGCAGACGTTGATCCTTGGCAACGGCGTTTTCTTCTCGCAAGCCCAGAGACAGAGTCCGCAAAAAGCAATCCGGGCGCTTTTTGTCGCGGGCTGGACATGCAGCCCTGCAGCTCGCTAGACATTATTCCCACGGCGAGATGAAGATAGCGCTCTGCGCCCCGCTCCGCTGGCGGGCCGGCCAGCAGACCGATTCCGAGAGTCCTTTTCGTCGCTCTGTCTCTCTCGCACTCGTGGCGCGTCCGCAAGGGCGCGAGAGAGACGGAACGACTCTCGGAATCAGCCTGCAGCCCAGCCGGTGTGGTCCCTGCTTCATCGCGGTGACAACGGCGCGCTGTAGCCAGGCTGTAGTCGAGCAGCGGAGCAGTACAGTGCCGTCGTCGAGTGCCGTAGGACCGCCCAGCGGTCCGGGTGGCGCTTCTATAGGTGTAGTACTCGCGTTCAACTCACTTACGATACAGCGCCGTGCCTCCCCCCCTTCCCCGTCAGTTCCTAGCATCGCGCACCGCGCGCTCGCTTGACGTACTCCATGCTCTGGGTCGCGGCTGAATGGACGCGGCGATACTCCATGCGCTGGCAAGGCGGCAGGGCGGCGTCTCTACTCCGCGCGCCAGGCGCTGGAGGCAAGGGGTATCGCCTTGCGAGCCGCTGTCGCTTCATTATTGCGGCTCCAGGATCGTAAAGTCTCATCAGGTCCAGCATGACCGAATGTGATTTTTACGGTCATCAGAGAAGCTGCTCGCTCGCAGGACCCAGATGTTATTGATGGAAAAGTTTGTTCAATTTGGGGATTCGTTTTTCAGAGCCGATTTGTGGGTCACCTTTTATTCGTCTCCCTCGTGAGGGTCAATTCCATCGTGAGGAAGCCTGTTTGTCACCGAGCGGGAATTTCAGAAATAGACGACGTCATCAAGGTACACGTGAGCTTTATTTAAATAATGAAAACAGGTAAACAAGAAACCGGACGAGCGTGTCTTCGTCGCGCCGAAGACGCCTCGACGCCAATTCAAGTTATTTTAGTCAGTCTTGTGGAGAGGTCGCTATGACTACGTGGCAGCGGTGGTGGCATCCGGCAGGATCAAGAGTCGGTCGCATAGGAGATTAGCGACCCCATCTGCAAATAGGAACAAAATTGCGCTTAGCAAAGCGAACGGCGCGCGGCGGGCTGCACTGCTCTGCCGCCAGATGGCAGCTCTGGCTGCTTGGCGCGCCGAGTAGTGCCGCTGTGGCAAAGCCGCGGGATGCCAATGAGACAAAAAAAAGCTGAGACAGATCATGCCGTGCGATAGCAACTTGTTCAAAAACTTTACGATGAATGGACTTAGAAATTGGGGATATAGGCCCTAGAATATTTTTATAATCTTATTATGATTTTGTGAATTTCAGATTGGCCAAGACAAGAGACACTTACCCGACACTACCGCTGGAGCTCTGGCTCTGGCTCTGGCTTTGGCTCTGGGAGCCGGAGCCGGGGCCGCCGCCGAAGGACGACGATGAGGCCGAGGACTGCGCCGACGACTGGCTGAAGCTGGCTCCGCCACCGCCGTTGTTGGGGTAGCCGCCGTAGCCACCGCCGTGCACCGGGCCAGGGTGGCCACCGCCGTAGCCGCCGTGGCCGCCGTAGCCGCCGTGGCCGCCGTAGCCGCCGTGTCCACCGTAGCCGCCGCCGCCGTAGTACTCCCTATGATATCCGCCCTCGAACCCGCCATAGCCACCATGGTGTCGGTGATGGTGGTGGTGATGGTGAGGATCTGCGGGCAAAAGAGCAAGGGTGTGAGATATTTTCAAGTTTAAATAAATGAAGCGATGAGCACGTTGTATAAATCAAGCGTGGATGCTCACCTGGGACGGGGACGGCGTAGCTCACGCCGAGGACGGCCGCGGCCAGCAGGATCAGAGCGCACTTCATGGTGTCCTGGGTGTGTGGAGTTGGGAAGACGAATGTTTCCGTCGGGCCGGCGTCCGCGCTTCTTATAGTCTGCCCGGTGCCGGGAATCGCGCAGGTACTGGTAGGACCCCGGCGAAGATGTGGGCCCGGAGCGCGGTGCGGGGGGAGAGGGGGGCGTCGCGACGCGTCATCCAGGCGGCGTCGTCGGCCATCGACGTCACAGGCCAACCAGTTTGGCGGAGACGCCGCCCGGCGTTTCGGCAGGCTGATAGCGCCGCGTTGGCCCGGTCATCGGCTCCAGGACTCTCCGGCTCCAGGACTCTCCAGGACTCTCCAGGACGCCGCGCTGGGTCGCTGCCGTCGCTCCATCCCGGTCCCCTCGTTCATGTTCCAGCAGCGGAGGCATCGTCCGCTCAGGTCACGACCCCTGCCCGACGGCCTGACCCGACGCGCCAGCGCGCCACCCTGACCTGCTCCAGCGCGCTCCAGCGGACCGCCACGACGGTTCGGCGGCCAATTTGGGACGTCAACGCCATCCGACAAAGCAGCGCGTTCACCTGGAAAACCCATTCAAAGGGTCGCCGTTGTGCCCCGAGGATTGAATTTGCCGCCGGGATGGATCCTCTCCGCTGCTCATCAATAACAACAACAACAACGCACTCATTTTCCGAGTGACGCATTATTGATTCCGCGGACCGGCTGTGTTCCGGGACGACGTCACGCACAGAGTCTATTTCGCGACAAAACAACGAGAGTCGCGCGAATAGTGAGCGGCGCGTGTTTAGGTTCGGATTCCCCGCCGGGAGGCAGAAGACGACGTCACATACGGGATTGATTGGGCAGTGGGGCTCGTCTGCCGCCCGCATCGGCGTGCTCTAAGTGCGGCGTGCAGGCGCACGGCGCGTCACTCCTCCCATCCCATTCCCTCTCGCCATTCAAGCGGGGACTCCAGGCGCGAGGCGTGCGAATACTGGCCGCGCGTGGAATCTGCACTGCTACTAGACTCGCCAAGTTTCATTCCGGATTTTCCAGGTGGGGACCTCCAGGAGGAGAGATAAAAAAGATGGGAAAGTGGGAACGACCAGTTTCAGAACTCTGCTAGAGACCGTCCACGACTTAACTCGCTGCGTACGTAATAAACGAGGTAATTGCTCCAATTAGCCGACGGGACGCGTGTCACCTGGACTCGCCTGGACTTCCAGCGACGTTGACATCGGGGGATCCCCGGCCGGACCAGCCAGCGGAACGCAGGACCGCCAGGACCGCGTCGACGACACAATGATAGGCCAGCAGACTGATTCCGTTTTCGTCTCTCTGTCTCTATCGCATTCATGCGCACGGAGTATGTGTGCGAGGGAGACAGAAAACGACTCTCGGAATCAGTCTGCAGGCTCACGCGGTTCATGTCGTTCCGCGCGGCGGCGCTGCACACGAATAATAGAGCTCGTGAGTCACCGCGCCGGGGAAGCCGCGCCGAGCCGCGCTGAGTCGCCAAAACAGTTCTCCAGAAGCGATGCGGCCGCGATGCGCACCCGTACTGGTAAACGTAGTGTACGTCATCGCCACAACAACTCAGGCCGTCGCCCCCTGCGCCAGCGAGCGCCAGCGCCTCTCCGAGCCGTTTGGGTCACAAGGCAACAAGGTCATGCCAAGACGCTCCGGGCACTCGCTCGGCACACTTGGCCCGTAGATGCCTTATTCCGGGTCACTCCGTCTCTGTTGCGCCTTAAGGAACAACCCGCGAATGCGTTGTAACTCCGAGCACCGAGGTTGCTCCTGTGATGAGATGGGGGAACTGCCTGGTGAGCTCTACTCCCAGAGCCGGTTCGCCGGGGTGCCCTCTTTCGCCGAAATTTTCTTTATCGTATTGATTCTGTCTCGTACTTTATTTTTCCTAGACTGGCCCCAAACTAAGGCGGGATAATAGGCTAATAGTAAAATGGCTCTCGTCGGCAGCGACAAGAAAAGGTGAGAACCGCGCGGGGCGAATTTGGCGGGGCGATCGGTCATCGGTTTGGAGCGACTTTGATTCGCGCCGCACAAGCAGGGCGTTATTTGCTTATTTATTTATGCGGGGCAGAGCCGGGCAAAGCCAGCGGGCCTCGCGCCACATCACTTACACACGCAACAAGTGCCAAGCCGAGCGGCTGGCTCACTCCGAAGGGAGTCTCTCTGTCTCTCTCGCAGCCGCCGAACGCCCTGCGAGTGCGAGAGAGACAGGGCGGCACTGTTCGAAAGCAGCCCGCCGGCCAAAGGGGTAGATTGCGGGGCGCGGCGCCCTGCCGCCTGTCCGCCGTGCTCGCCGCCGGGGGCTTGTCCTTGAAATACCCCGGACGCCCTGCTCGGCGGGCTGCTCGGCGAGGTCGCCTTGGCCGCCGCGGTCTCCAGGTCCGCGCTAAGCACCGGCCTGCCCGCCATTTCCGCGTCATGTGTGACGTGGATGACGGGCTTCACGATGACGGGGATCGCGATCACGGCGGCCACGGCGTTGGAGTCGCGTGCGCGGCGACAGCCCCGGCGATCGCGGCGCACGCCAGCGCGCGGATTTTGGCGGGAAAAGCGGCGCCGATTTGGATCCGGGCTGATTCCGAACGGTCGCGCTATCTCTCTCGCACTCGTGGGGTGTCCCACCTGGGTGCGAGAGACGCAGCGACGGGGGCGGTTTTGTTTTTCTCCGGAGAAGTCGCGGTGAGGACTCGCGGCCGTTGGTTCCGTGACAGCGTGACAGAGGGCGCCATTAGCGGCCAGTTGTTGCTGCGGGGGCGTGGCGGGCGTGGCGGCGCGGCGGTCGTGGCGGAAAGGCAGGGGCGGCCACGAGCCACCCGTTGACCCAGCCCCGCGCAGCCCAGCCGGCTGCAGCCCCGCGAGTGCCTCTTAATGGCCTCTGTTTGCTTGAATGACCTGTATGATAACACCCACGGAATAATGAAAAGCAATCCCTCTAGCATTTAAGTCCCCGCGCGATAGTGCGCGCCGCGGGGGGCGGGAGGGGGCGGGGGCGGGGTGGCCGCGAAGGCAGGCGGCATCGTACATCGCGCACACCAATTCGTCACTACCGCCGCCGTGTTCCCGGCCGATGCGAGCTCGCGCTAGCGCAGCCAGCGGGACACGGGGGGCCGCAACTACTTTAGATAAACACCGTTTAAGTGGCGCCCTGCCTTGGGCTGCCCCGGTGGCGTTCTAATGCGCGCGCCCTGCACAAAGGGGCTGCTACCGTTCTTCTACAAGGCTGCGGATGGAAAAAAGGGGGCGTTTGCAGTGTAGTGGCCGTGCAAATGAAGGGATGCGGCTGCAGTGCTGCAGTGGCGCGGTCGGGCTGCAAGCTTGCAGTGCAGGGGAACAAACACGGCACTCGGCATTCGGCCGTTCTGCTCGCGTGCCGCCCTGGCCGCCGCGCCTCGCAGTGCTTTATGCGCCGCAATTATTTTGTTTCGTTATTGCTGCGGTGATACTTTGTCGTTGGCGTGAGCCGGGCCGGGCCGGGCCGGGGGCTGGACAACAAGGTCTTCATGGTGACGAGGTGGTCTCGGTGGCGAGGGCCTAATGGTGGTGGGGTTCTCGTCACGAGGCCCTTCCATTGCGATGACGAGGGCCTTGACGACCAGGTCCCCGATGACGACGAGGTCCTCAATGATGACGAGGCCCTCTGAGAGTTCGAGCGATCTCTTGTTTTGCTTGGCTCGCAGATTTTTCGCTTGTCCTGGGCCACTTGACCTGTGCCCTGCATTTATTTTTATTTTTTTCACGCGTCGTTAGCACGTGCGTCCTTTGCCAAGCCAATCTGCCCATGGTGGCAACATGGAACCCCCCCCCCCCTCGTTCCCGGCGACACGCGCGCACACCGTATGGGGCTCGTGCGTGCTCCCCGGGGCCGCATTATTCCGATTATGCTGATCAATGTCGTTTGAGGCTAAATCTCGGAGACGGCGAGCAGCACTCTTCAATTCTTTTTCCTTCCTCCTTCCTACGGCTGACTTCCTCCTACCTCGTCCACCCCCTTGAGTTGCCACTTTCACCACTTTTCACGTTGTCGAAGTTGAGGTCGTCCTTACGCTGTTTCAGTGAGTGATTGTTGGACATGCCCCCGTCGCCGTCGTCATCCTCCTCTCCCACGTCCCCCACGTCCCCGTCGACCTCCACGCCGTCGTCCTCCACGTGTGGCCCTCGACGTCGTGGCCGCGGCCGGCCGTGGCATTTCCGTATCGCGCGGGGGGTTGTTCTACATTGTAAAGGTGATACGTGACGTTTGGACGCCGTGATCGGCGCTTGATACGCCACTGTACTCGCACACCGTGTGCACTCGGCGAACTCGGCGCACTCGGCGCGCTGCATCGCTGCAGAAAATTATATTTAAATTGAGGGTGGGTGGTGGCGGCGGACGATTGTAATCTGAAACAAGCCGTTTGAGTCGCGGGGCGGCCCGGCCGGGCAGGGCAGCCTGGGCGCGACACGGCATTGGCACGGCGGCCCGCGGTGCCATGGCAACGAGCCTCGCCCACTTGTCTCTCTCGCACTCCGCGCCTCGCCGTATGGGTGCAAGAGAGACAGACTGGCGCCACAGTGTGTCTCCGCGCGGCTCATCGGGGGGCGGACAGACTGGTTTCGGCGGACTTGCTGGCCACCACTCTACAGAGTATCTTTCGCGGTTCGCCCAGGACGTCCGCTAGTCTGTGCGTGGACAGCCCGGGCACCTTCTCGAGGTGGCGACCATTCTACAGACCCCTGCCGCTCCCTGCCGCCCCCTGCCGCGAAGCGCTCAAAGCTTTCGACGACGCGAGAGAGGAGACCACCTGCCGGGCGCCTGACGGGTAGGCAACCCATCCAGCACCTCGGCCGAGCGCCGTGGCGGTAGGCAGCCCATCGCGCTCGCAGGTGTGCGGTGTGCCGCGCCCGGAGCCAAGGGGGCTGCCGTCGGCATGCCGTCGGCAGGGGAGCCCGGAATGGGCGAATAGGGGGCGAGCAGGCCGTCAAACCGACTTCAGCGAACACAGTGACTTCTGGCACAATCTTCGTCGCCCTGCCTCTCTCGCAGACATGCGGCGTCCCGTGTGGGTCCGGGAGAAGGACGTGCGACGAAACGACTGTTGAGAACCACCCGGCTGC